CCTGATCTCGGCGGGGAGGCGAGTCGTTGTTTCGTCGTTGCGGGGCCTCTGTACGGCCGCCGGCTTCGTTCTGCGCGGCAGCCGCTTTGAGGAGCCGCTGGACTCGCTCGGTCATCAGGCGGCGCTCTTCACCTTGGAAGTTGTCTAGCTCGTCTGCCGCCGCCTGGGTGGTGCGGATGTTCTCCGCAGGCGTAGCGTACACGGGGCGATCGGCCCCGAACAGGTTGGGATGGCCACGCCGCGTTGCCGGACCGCGCCTAGGCGGCTAGGCCCAGTTGGGGCCGGCGAGCCACCCACAGCGCGATCCATGTCACGCTGGTAGGCTTCTGACAAGCGCCTCATGCTTGCCAGCTTCTTCGCGCCTTCGACGAGCTGAAGGCGGCGTGCCTCCAGCGTCTCGGCGTCAGCGTCCTCCAGAATGGGCGCGGTCAGGTCTCGTAGAGCCGCGTCGAGTGGGTCATGAGCTCCCTCACCGGAGTGCTCGCCATGACTGATGACAAGCACCTCCGTGACGGCGCTTTCGCCACTCTCCTCGGGAGGGAGCGGCTCGTCGTAGACCACCACGTTGGTGGGGAACGCGTCAAGCGACACGGCGTCGGAATCGACCAGCATCGGGTCGGTGGAGCCTACGGACCCCAAGTCCACGGCAGGCTCGCCGGTGACGTGGAGTTGGTCGAGGAGGCCCGCAAGGAGGCTTTCGGGGCCGCCCGCGCCTGCGTCGGATGCAGGCTCGTCGGTGATGCGTGCCTCGCCAAGAAGATCGGCAAGGCAGCTCGCTGCACAGGCGTCGTCGATGCCTTGCAGCGCGTCGGGGCAAGCGCCATCGGGCGTGCCGGGCTGGCTACGCTCGCTGGGGAGGAAGAAGGTTCCCGTCCAGAGCAGGTCTTCGGACGACGGTGCACCTCGCCCCACGTTGGGCGCCAAATGTCGGGGGTTGGGTGCGACATATGCCAAAGGATGGCTTATCATGGTGGGAGAAAGTAGAACGTCGCCGGTGCCAGGAAACGGGATGAGGCGAAGACATGCACGCCGGCGGATCTTACCCAGCTTCGGGGCTCTTCGGGGAGATAACACCCCTACTGCTGCTCTGCGGGGTCTCCGAATGATCACTAGGGCAAAGTGAGTATAAGGTTGCTCCTCGAGCTGTATTCTGGAGGTAGGAGAAGGCAAGGCTAGCTCTCTCCTTCCTCTATGATCTGGTCTAGTGCTAATGGATTCGAACCCTTTGCATGGGTGCCCCGGGAGGTTTATATAGACCTACCCCCCGGGGGTACAATGGTAATCCGGCTGGACGCGGGTCCCAGCCGTCTGTCTCTCAGGCCGCCGTCTTCTCTGCCGACTGCTAGGGCCCGCCGACTGGCGGGCCCCGCCAACAGGCCCGACGCTGTAGACGTGCTTCTGATGACGCAGGCTTGGTCATGGGGTCGTGGCAACAGTGCCGCCGTCTATCGGACGATCACTGTCGCCATTCCCCATCTTGTCTGGTTAATGGCGTGTGGGGCCCGTGGGAGGGGCCGGCCGACTCCAGGGAGCCGACTCCCACGGGTCCGTCTTTGGGACGCTCTCGCCGTCTTCTGTGCTCCCGCTGACGGGCGGGTCCCGCTGTCTCTGGGTCGTACAGATAGGCCAACGTGGGCACAGTGCGCCGCCTACTGAGGCTGAGGTCAGAGCAGGCATGGCAACAGTGTTGCGCCACGACGGAGATCTCCAGCGATACGGCGCACTGTAGCAATGCTAGCCCCTCGTAAGCAAGGTGGAGACGGCCATACCGTGGCCGTACCCCGCCCCGTCCATCGTGGCGAAGGCAGGAGATGGTTGGAGTCGCGGCCGACTTCCGTGGGACTCGGCTTATCTTGGAGTCGCCTCTGGGACTAGGCTTATCTCGGAGTCGCCTCTGGGACTCGACTTAAGGGGCGTAGCCCGGCCCGATGTCTCGAAAGGTTCTGGACCTTGGATTAGCCTACCCGTGGCCCATTACTCCGACAATCATCCAACCTGGAGAAGGCCCCATTAACGGATAAGGCGACCATGTCCGCCGGTGGTCTAGGCCATGCAATGAACCAGTAGCCACCCTTTCATGCACAATCGGCCTTTCCTCCAATAAGGGCATTTTCCCTTTGATGATTTCCTCTGTGTTATACTTCTTGGATAGGTCAAGCGCTTGCATGTAACTTTGAAGATAATCAGACGACACCTTGGTAGGCGGCACCTCCTTCCCATGCGCTAAATCCGACCTCAATGACCATATCCTTTAAATCAACATTATTGTACGATCCGTCATATCATCCTCACAATTAGCAAGAATGTTTCACAGCCAATCCTTGCCGGCATCAACTAGCATACCATGATCAAGTAGCTTCCACACCCTACACATCTGTTCCCACAAAGCACGAGCATGATCACATGTTACCAATGCGTGAAAGCTGCTCTCTTTTTCCTTGCTGCACCAAGGCAGGTATCCTGCTTCGAAATATGTCTATGCTTCTTGCACGAGTTTGTTGACAGTGCACCTGAAACCACTTTCCATGCCATTATGCTCGCCGCACCTGTCGCCACGGCATGGTTCTGCCCATCAGTTGCCAAATGGTAAGCACTCTTGACAGTAAACTGTCCGCTCTTCTCCGGACGCCAAGCAATAAAATCCTATCTATTCCTTGGAGAGGTTCAGATTTTAGTTATCAACAATCAGAATTACATATGGCCAAATGACACCACGGCGGGGGATCCCTGCAAAGCGGTGATATAAATATGGGTGATATTCTTAGATGGCCAAATGACACCACGGTGGTGCAATTTGAAAAATATTCGGCACAACAACAACTAGATGGGTTGGGTATCTTTGAGAGGCTCTCAGGTTCACTATATCAAGAACAAGTACGTGTAACATGATCACTTCCTACACTTCAAATAACAACTAGATGGGTCTCTGAGAATGGCTCTCGAATTCACTATCGTAAGAAGTGTAAACTGATCACTTGCTACACTTCAAATAACAACTAGATGACTTTAAGAATGGTTCTTTTTAATACGTTTTATTTTTTGTGTCAATTAAAAAGTGCATGCTTCTGAAAAAATTATGAATTTTTTAAAAGTCGTTCATGCATTTTAAAATGTTATTATAGTTTTAAGAAAAGTGTTCACGTATTGAAATAATGCTCATATAATTTGAAAAATGTTTATCCTTTTTATAAGAAAAAAGTTCATGTAATTCGAAATAGTGTTCACATGCTTAAAAGTATACTCAAATTTAAATAATTCCATGTTCTTTAAAAAAATCCATGTGATCTAGAAAATGCTTACGTGTTTAAAAAAGAATGTTGATGCATTTTGAAACACAAATACACAATTTAAATGTGTGTGGGTGTATCAGGGGTAGTGTGTGAACTAGGTGTAGGCCGTAGCTCGGGAAACGCGGTCGTGACGTCAAGCTCAACGAGATTAGTTTTAAAACTGCTAGGCACTAGTGGAGCTTAGTGTAGACCAAGGGGGGCCATGCCCCCCCCCCCTCCCCCTAGTCTTGGCATTCATTGAAGAGCATGCTAGCTTTTAGGGCTAATAAGTGTTTCAGCAAGTGATTAGCCCCTTCTGGCCTACTAATTTGTTCCCCTTGAGTCATGGCCTTCTCTTAAATTTTGCTCAAGCTCGTGTGGTTCAAGAATAGGTGTGCCGTGTGCGTGCGGTTCAAGATCGTCATCTTTAGAATTGACCACGTTCGAAGGCATTGTGATCACATGGACACCGTGATCATAGTCCCTGAAGGTGGTGGGAAGGATAAGCAACAACACAAATGAGACGCTATAAAATAGATAATGTGGACCTATGGAGGGGTCTTGAGTCGCGCTTGTTGTGCTAAGAAAAAAATAGCATGTGATTTTTTCTTCCGCTGTAAAGTACGAGTATGTTTGCTAGTATATCATCATGCGTTTTTTTTACATGGTAATATGTATCTCATTTATAAAATAAAGATCTGGCTACAAGGCACGTAAGCACCGACATTACAAGACTGAAAAGATAGGATAATCCTATGCAAAATACCAACGCCTGTTCCTCTCCTCCGACACCACCAAAGCAGCCACCAAAAGGAAAGAAAACAGATCACCTCTTCATTCGAGCTCGACCAAGTTGTACAGTCCACTTATATTTAGGCGTGGTTGCCCGCAAAAAAAAACAAAAAAAAGTTAGGCGTGGTTGTTAATTTGCTTCCGATATTTCCGCCTCCGAAGTCACGTGTTGCAGCAGGAGTCCTGCAATTTTGGCAAGTTTTGCATCAAATCAGCGTCTCCCGAGCGGCTGCATCCTCTCATCGATCTCTAGCCATGTCGTCTGCGCCGCAACGCACGGCGTCGACGCACAGGTCCGCGGTCGTCCGGGGCACGCACGAGTTTCACATCGTCGGCTACAGCGAGCGTAAGCCGTTCGCCCGTCTCACCAACAAGGCCGCATCATATTACGACCCCCTCTATGCCGACGGCCCCGGGAGGGACCCCTCGATCAAGTCTCCCGCCTTTCAGGTCGGCGACTACACCTGGGACCTCGTCTGCACCTTCGGTTTTCAAGGTCGCCTCACATCCATCGCCCTCGAGCTGCTCACCAACACCATTACCAAGGATGTCATCGCCACGGCCAGCCTTCAGATCGACGACCCGCTTGGCCGGTGGCCGCCCGCAGTGTGGCGAAGCGACGCCGCCCACAGATTCTGCAGGAGAATAATTGTCGGCATGAGCTGGCAGCTGTCGCTACCGGATGCGTTCTGTGGGCACGAGGAGCGCTACGTCACCGACGATGACCGCCTCACCATCATCTGCACCGTCGACATTCTCCAAGAGGATGCCCAGACCGCCGCGGAGACCAGGAAGTGCTTGGTCTCCGTGGTGCCGGCGCCGACCATCCCACGGGATTTTCAGCAGCTTCTGCTACTTCTGAAGAAGTACCCCAAGTTATCCGACGTCACCTTCCTCGTAGAGGATACCGAGTTCCATGCGCACAGGCTTGTGCTTGCTATGCGGTCGCCGGTCTTTGCCACGGAGCTCTTTGGTGACGCGAAGGAGAGCACCACACACCGAATAAGGATAGACGACATGGATGCCTCCACATTTAGGGCCATGATCCGGTTCATCTACACTGACGAGCTTCCGATGAAGCCAAACGACCATGTGGAATCAAGAAGCCCCCTCAATAATTTTAAAGAGGAATACATGTCCACGGCTCGCAAACTCCTTGTGGCAGCAGATCGGTATGATCTCGAGAGGCTGAGGCTCATGTGCGAGAACATACTGTCGGAGTGCATCAATGTGGCCACTGTCATGAAGACATTACTGCTGGTGCGAGGCCGCCAAAGGTGCTATCAGCTCGAGGATTCCTGCATCAAGTACATATCGTCTGATCCTGATGTGTACAACGCGGTGAGGGCGACCAAGGAGTATGAGGAGCTCAAAGAAACATGCAGCTCTTTTATAATTGAGGTCACTGAGAGAGTAGCCACACACATCATGGCCAACCACCCTTCTTCCTCCAGTAGCACTCGACCACCAGCACAAGAGAAGAGCACATCCAGATATATTTTGTCGGATGTAGTCCGCGGCACGCATGAGTTCAGAATCCCCATCTTTAGCTCTTTGCAAACGAGCTACCGTGTTAGTCAAGTAATGACTTCCGACGTATTCAAGGTAGGCAGTTACGACTGGAAGATAAATGTGTACCCGTCTGGATATGACGTTGAAGAGCACATATCCGTCTACCTCTGTCTATGCACTGATCCTGGAACTGCTACAGTCAAGTCATCGATCAGGTTCCGGATCGATGACCCTAACGGCAAATCACCGTCGATGGTGCTTGGTTCAGAAGACACTTTTACAAAGTTGCATCAAACCTCGGGATTTCAGAAGTTCATTGCCGTGAATTCTGCGAAGTCACGGTACGTAGGACACGATGGCTCCCTCACCATACATTGTGACCTTGACGTCCACAAGGAGGCATGCACTACTAGTACTAGCACCACCATCGCTAAATCCATGATAGTTGTACCGCCGTCCAACATTGCGTGGCACCTCGAGCAACTGATGGTGAGTGGGCAATGGTCGAACGTGACGTTCCTGGTTGAGGAGAGCAAGATTCACGCGCACTGGCTCATCATTGCCATGCGGTCACCAGTTCTGTTCGAAACGGTAGCGATGGAGACGTCCAATTGGGTCATACGGATCGACGATATGAAGGCCGCTGTCCTGAGGGCAGTGCTCCACTTTGTCTATACCGACGAGCTGCTTCCTGTGGATGATGTGGTAGCAGCCGGAGAAATGCTCGCGACGGCATGCCGGTTTCGCTTGGAGAGGATGAGGGCCATGTGCGAGAACTTGCTCGCCCGTCTCATTACGAAAGACAATGTCTTAAGCATGCTGGAGCTGGCATGGCGTCACCAATGCGAGGACCTCAAGCTTTACTGCATCGAGTTCACCTCGCTTGCAATGAAGTGATGAAAATACTTCCCTATTCTTTGGTGTTTTTATGTTTAGAAAATGTTTCGTCATCGAATCGCTACACCTCCTTTACACAGATGTACTTCTTTTTTTTTTTCAAATTTTTACGCATCTTTGTTGCAGTCCTTTTCTCGTGTACTTGTTCCTTGTTTAGGATGAGTGATTAGTAGATGGGGAAAACTGAGAAATTATGTGCGTTGGTGTTGGTCATTTTCCTTTGGAGTTGTAAACTTGAAGCTAGCAGGATTCTCATCGCGTAGGGTAGCTTTTTTTTAGTTGAATCGCGTAGGGTAGCTTGGTGTTGGTCATTATGTTTTCATTTTGATTGGCCTGTTCTGTTTGCATTGTTCGGGCCCAGCCAAGCTAATTAGCAAGCGAGGGATTTGTTGGGTTTGTTGTGTGCCGGCTAGGCTAGCTAGCTTGCCAAGGGTAAGGCTATGAATCTATATGAGCCTCCGTGAGCCTCCCTTTATTGCTTTAGTAGCAGAAAAGCTTGTGCACTGCAACGGTGGCATACATATCCTAGTGATTTGACATCAGTCTGTTCGACATATACACTCTCAGATATATATTAATTGTCGATGTTTTATATAAAATTGTACTAAATAAGTGATAATTAATATAGATCGGAGGGAGAAACATTTAATTTCATTTGAGTACGGATAGAGAAAGGCAAGGAAAATTTTGTAGTTGAGTTTTTGGTAAGATTGCTTTGATTTAAATGAGTTAAGCATTACATGGTTTTGGGAAAGTATCCATTTGGTTTATATTATTCCAAGTTAGTACATCAGTTGGGGTTAATAAAAAATCCAATAGGAAATCAAAGGGTGGAGGGGAATGTGGGGAGGAAAAAACGGGTAAGAGGGGAGGTGACGGAACCAACCCCCCCCCCCCTCTCCCATTAGAGATTGATTGGTTTAAATTATTCCAAGTAACGATAGTTATGTTGTTTTTTTTTATGCGGAGTCGGTTGGGTTACTAAAAAAACCAATAGGGAACCAAATGGTGGAGTGGAACATGGGGAGGAAAAGGACTGGAAGGAGGGAAAGCGACGTAAATAACTTCCCTCTAATTGTAGAGTTTACTAGTTATTTCTTTTCTAATTTTCCTAAAGTTAAATTCATGTAAAGAGAGGTTTCTTTTTTTTAGACCATCCATCATAGCCAAAGTTGAAGTTGTGTTTTTCAATCATCTTGTCAAGGTTGGATGGGTTTTTGCTCCATTGCTTTCATTTAATTATCTTATAGTGTCTTTAAATCTAGCCACTAGATCTTTAGCAGAGTTGCTGAAAAGAGTAGTGTTGTTCCAAGCAAGTTCAACCACATCCAAGGATCCCTCAAAATTAGTCCAGAATTCCTCAAATCCAAACTTTTAGTTCAAGGGATTTTATTATCAATTTGCACTTTCATGGATACATGACCAGAAGTAACTCTAAAAGGCGAAATAGCCATGGTATATTGGATATGAAGTGGTCCAGGATGGAGCGGTAAAGACCCAATCCAGTTTTTTTTAAGAAGGGGGTTACCCTACATATTACTCCAGGTAAAAGTCCTACCTTTAAAGGGTATCTCAAGCAAATCATGTTGTTGAATAATAGAGTTGAAACGAAGCATACTATTGTGATGACGTCCATGTCTGTTTCAGTTCTCGGGGCCCCTTATATAGTCTCCCATGATAATCCTTGGTTCAATATTACTAGTATCCAGGTTATATATCCAGTTGGAAAATTTAATCTTGCCATCAGTACTACTTGGTCCATACACATTGGTCAGATACCATGCCACATTACTCATGTTACTAGTAAATTCAATAGTAATCCGAAAGTATGACTGAGTGTATGAGTATTAGAGACGAGAGAATTGGTGTAATAGGGTGCATATTGTATTGAGCCTCTAGAGTACAATGCTTGGAGGGCAAGAAGGCTCTGCTAGAGATAAGGAAGGAGATCGCTGTTTACAAATCATAGTCGACCAAATATAGAGATATGCCTATATACTCTTACATCCCCACGAAGTCGTAGGGGTAGCATCCCAGACAACAAAAGCATCACAGACAGTCAGACGGGAGAGAAAGCGAAGGTAGAAGCTGACAAGTTGACATCCCCCCACAACCATAGCGGGAGCATCGTGGACGTGTTGAATATAGAGAAAGCCACTGAGGTGCTCAAGCAAGGTGATAACCCTTTGTGTCGAAGTCGAGGTAGCTGAGAGCATGGGCGGTGGAGCCATGGTTGAGGTAGCCATGCGAGGGACGCCATGGTCGATATCGAAGTCGAGGGTAGCCGGTGTCAAGGTAGCCGAAGGTGGAGCCGGGGGTGCAAGGAAGCACCGACGAGTCAGGGACGCAGTGTTGCGCCAGGAAGAAGATGGTGACGTGATCAAGGGTAGTTGTCGTGGAGGGGGTCGATGCCAAAGACAAACTTGTCAAAGCCATCGTAGACAAGGTGCCGCACCAGGTTTGCCAAGCCCGGGACACTTCGTGGATGAAGGCACGCATCAGTGTTGCCAATATTGGGCATGCGTAGATGGGACCGGCACAAGATATACGCCATGCCAGAGGGACTAGTAGGGGAGGACTCTGTTGGGGAACGTAGTAATTTCAAAAAAATTACTACGCACACGCCAGATCATGGTGATGCATAGCAACGAGAGGGGAGAGTGTTGTCCACGTACCCTTGTAGACCGAAAGCGGAAGCGTTAGCACAACACAGTTGATGTAGTCGTATGATACGTCTCCGTTGTATCTACTTTTCCAAACACTTTTGCCCTTGTTTTGGACTCTAACTTGTATGATTTGAATGGAACTAACCCGGACTGACGTTGTTTTCAGCAGAATTGCCATGGTGTTGTTTTATGTGCCGGAAATAAAAGTTCTCGAAATGACCTGAAACTCCACGGAACACCTTAGAAAAAACAATAAAAAATCCTCACAAAAGATGAAGACCAGGGGGCCCACACCCTGTTCACGAGGGTGGGGGGCGCCCCCTGGGCGCGCCCCCTACCTCGTGGGCCCCCTGGTGGCCCTCCGACGCCAACTCCAACTCCATATATTGGCTTTCGGGGAGAAAAAAAATCAGGAAGAAGAAATCATCGCGTTTTATGATACGGAGCCGCCGCCAAGCCCTAATCTCTCTCGGGAGGGCTGATCTGGAGTCCGTTCGGGGCTCCGGAGAGGGGGATTCATCATCGTCGTCATCATCAACCATCCTCCACCACCAATTTCATGATGCTCACCGCCGTGCGTGAGTAATTGCATCGTAGGCTTGCTCGACGGTGATGGGTTGGATGAGATTTATCATGTAATCGAGTTAGTTTTGTTAGGGTTTGATCCCTAGTATCCATTATGTTCTGAGATTGATGTTGCTATGACTTTGCTATGCTTAATGCTTGTCACTAGGGCCCGAGTGCCATGATTTCATATCTGAACCTATTATGTTTTTATGAATATATGTGTGTTCTTGATCCTATCTTGCAAGTCTACAGTCACCTACTATGTGTTATGATCCGGCAACCCCGAAGTGACAATAATCGGGACCACTCCCGGTGATGACCATAGTTTGAGGAGTTCATGTATTCACTATATGCTAATGCTTTGTTCCGGTTCTCTATTAAAAGGAGGCCTTAATATCCGTTAGTTTCCAATAGGACTCCGCTGCCACGGGAGGGTAGGACAAAAGATGTCATGCAAGTTCTTTTCCATAAGCACGTATGACTATATACGGAATACATGCCTACATTACATTGATGAACTGGAGCTAGTTCTGTGTCACCCTATGTTATGACTGTTACATGACGAACCGCATCCGACATAATTATCCATCGCTAATCCGGTGCCTAAGAGTTTTCCATATACTGGTTCTCGCTTATTTACTTTTCCGTTGCTACTGTTACAATCACTACAAAATACCAAAAACATTACTTTTGCTGTCTTTACTTTTGTTACCGTTACCACTACTATCATATTACTTTGCTACTAAACACTTTACTGTAGATACTAAGTTTCCAGGTGTGGTTGAATTGACAACTCAGCTGCTAATACTTGAGAATATTCTTTGGCTCCCCTTGTGTCGAATCAATAAATTTGGGTTGAATACTCTACCCTCGAAAACTTTTGCGATCCCCTATACTTGTGGGTTATCAAAACCTTTTTCTGGCGCCGTTGCCGGGGAGCATAGCTCTATTCTTTGAGTCACTTGGGATTTCTATCTGCTGGACACTATGAAGAACTTGAAAGACGATCGAACTACTATTTTGCACTCAAGTACGAGGGGAGGTAAGGGACTGCCATCTAGCCTTGCACTAGATTCTCCTTCTGTTATGAGTAAGTTTGCGACACCTAAACCTAATACTGCTATGAACTCTGATATGTCGCATGTTATTGATGATGCCACTTCTGCTATGCATGATACTTATGATGAAACTACTTCTATTCTTGATACTAATATGCCCCTAGGTGAATTTCTTGATGAGCAAATTGCTAAGTCTAGAGAAAGAGAAATTATTGAACCTGAACACGATGATGTTAGTGATGATGAAAATATGCCTGCTATTCCTGAGGGTTATCGTTTTTATGCTGAATCTTCTGCAGCTATTCTTGCTTGCCAGGATAGACATGAACTTAAGAGGTTGCTAGTTAAATGGAGTAAAGAATCTTTTAGAGATAGGATGAAACCCGATCCTGCTTTTGCTACTTCACCTATCTGTGTTCCTGATCAGGATTATTATGATTTTTCTGTTGATCCAGATATAATTACTTTGGTTGAATCTGATCCTTTTTATGGCTATGAATCTGAAACTGTTGTGGCACATCTTACTAAGTTAAATGATATAGCTGCCCTGTTTACTAATAATGAGAGATCGCGCTACCTTTATTTACTAAAAATATTTCCGTTCTCATTAAAGGGTGATGCTAAGATATGGTATAATTCTCTTAATCCTGGTTGTGTGCAAAGTCCCCAGGATATGATTTATTACTTCTCTGCTAAATATTTCACTGCT